AGGATGCAGGAAGCACTCAATCTAATTGAGAACTGGTGTAATAAACAATGCCTTTCCGTCAATCCCAAAAAGACAGAGATGGTTCTTTTTACACGCAAGCGCAACATTGGCAATCCTAGACTGCCAACGCTCGCTAAAATTCCACTTAAACTGTCTACAGAAGTCAAGTACTTGGGCTTAATAATAGACAGTAAGCTAACGTGGAAATCCCACCTAGACAATAGAGTTAATAAAGCTTGTGTCGCCTTCGGCCAGTGCCGGAGGGCTGTCGGGAGGACTTGGGGTCTGTCTCCCAAGATAGCCCTGTGGATCTACACCGCCGTTGTTCGACCAATGCTAACTTACGGTGCGGTGGTATGGTGGACTAGAACTTCTAAGTCTACCGCCACCACTTCCCTTAATAGAATACAGAGACTCGCGTGTCTGTATGTTACAGGTGCGCTGCGATCAACCCCCACAGCGGCCATGGAAATCATGTTAAATTTACCACCACTCAACCTACATATCCAGGAAGTGGCGTTGGTAACCATGAAAAGACTACAATCAGTAGGAACTATGAAGGATGAGGACGCTGGCAGCAGTTCAACACTCTGGAGGGAAGCAGTGTTAGACACACCCCTACTCGAGTGTAAGACTGATCACAGACCAGCAAAATATGTTTTCTCAAAGAAGTGGGTGAAGTACCCACGTCAGTCCCAAAGTAGTAGATGTACAAAGAACTTTTAAGATCTACACTGATTTTTCAAAAGGACCATCCATTCTCTCACGATCCTCCGATTCGCCTCTCGGAACCTTTAGTGTCTGGCACCACCGTCATACAAGCGGAACTAACTGCTATTAAACTTGCTGCTGATTGCATTGTTGAATCCAACCAGCGGGGTAAGTGTTTTACTAATTTTACAGGCAGTAAACAATCTCTTTTAGCTTTAAGCAGAGTTATTATAACGTTTGCAGTAGTTATGGATTGTCACAAAACACTGGAGGAGGCCGCGAAATACAATCATGTCAGAATCCAGTAGATTAAAGGGCATTCCGGCTCCAAGGGTAACAACCACGCGGACAAGCTAGCCAAACGTGCTGCCGGTAGAGCGCCCTGTGCACCCGAGCCGATAATTACCCCCTCCTTAGCCACTCATATCGAGTTAATAAAGCACATTACCCACAAAAAATTTTTAAACGGGTGGGANAAAAAAAAAGACAGTCAGCGTCCACGTTCTATTATAATTAAATTTATTAGTTATAAAATCCGAAATGCTGCAATAAAAGCAAGAACCAAACTTAAAAACTCAAAAATATCTCTACAAGCAGATTTGACCGCTTTTACATACCCCCTTTTCATAGCTGCTCGGGAGAAGTATAACTACAGGAACTGCTGGACAAGATGTGAAAATTTATGCTTAAGTGAATGGTTCAATCATAACAATAAAAAAATTGTTATAATAAGAAAGGGGGAGGCTAATACGTTTTCAAATGTTTACTACTTAATATCTCCTGAACCATTCAATCGATTTGAATATTTTTGGTCTTGTTTGGAAGAGCATTTTATGCTCTTTTACTGGTCCGTTTTGAACTGGTTCAAAACTACTTTTGAGGCGTGTTTAAAAGCCAACGAACAATGAAACAGCAACAATGATAATAAAACAAAATAAACCAAAACACTGAGAATTACTTCAATTTTTGGCAAAAATAGCTGACAAATGTTCAAAATGCCTTCCATAAACCTCGATTCAGTTATTTATTCTAGTTTCGACGAAAAATAAAACGCTGTTCAAGTCTCATCCCTGGACACGTTTCTAATGGCATTTAGTGTTTTGTCATATTTTCCCTGGTTATTGGTTAATCTTGAAAAGTCTGGTCGTTTAGTCTACCCCATAGATAAAGGGGTGAAAGCAATGTGGGATCTGCTCGAACCAAGAATGCATATTATGCAAGTTTAAATCCTCATACGCTCTATCATACGCTTCTGCGTTAGTAAATGACATGTTTACAGTTACCATGATTATGTGATTTGTTTTTCTCGATGAGGTAGCTGGATCCGATTGATGACACTCGAGTTTTTAACATTTTCTTCTATAATTGATGAAGAACGGATGGTGATATCGAGATGCGGTTTTCACTAATATTTAGCAAATTTTATGGTGACTAANTGACAATTTTAAGACATTCTAAAATAATTTAAAAAAAAATTAATATTATTATGAGTCATCTGAATTATTGGGATCATTACATTTGAGATAAACTTGTTTTCTAATCAGATGCTTTTTGCACATAAATTCATAGCACTCATCACATTTTTTTGTTGTATAATTATTTTTAGCCCTACCACATAATTGGCATCGTTCTCTGATTTTTCTTGAATGTGGATCTGTTTGCTGCGATGTCGATGGAGTGTCTATATCTGTTTGTTCTTGGAGCTTTCCCTTTTGGGTTTTAACTACCCTGTTGGTTCAGGGTAGTTATTTGGCTTCTTTCAATCAAAAATCCGTTCACCTTCAATGTCAAATTTTTTAGAAAATCTTTTCTTAATTGCGGCTTTGCTTTTGTTTTGTCGCTGAAACTGTACAAAATGTGGGCATTTATTCCTGCCATATTTATAGTTGAAAAAAACGAGGATTCAAATTCGAATTTATTTAGTATAAATATTAACAATATTTATATAAATACGTCAGCAGTCTTAACTTTAGTACTTAACAAAAAAATCATCGAACATCCAGTTGTTTACAGAACAAAAACATTAACATTAACCACCAAAGTCACGCAAGTGTATGGTGTCGCACAAATAGTCAGAGTACGAATAGTAGGCCTTCCGAATTAAAAAAGTTTTAATTTTATTCTTGAACAGTTCAGGAGGCAACCGAGCAATGTCGTTCGGTATTTTGTTATAGAATTTTACTCAAAGAAATTTAAAATGGCACTGACTTCGACCTAGTCTACAAAAGGTCGGTCTCAGTTGGGTACCGTTTCTAGTCCGATATTTATGTAAAGTGTCATGACTAATAAAGTCGTCGAGATTTCGCCTTACAAATATTACACATTCCAAAATGTACAATGACGGAAAGGTCAGTATATTATGGTTTGTAAAGGACCTACGGCAATCATCCATGTATGTTAGCGAGTTTATTATGTCACGAACCTCAACAAATGTTGCTTGATCAATGGAAAACCCACAATCAGCAACATTAATTTTTTGCAATAGGCAATCAAACTTATCATCTATGTTGGACTTTTTTAAGCCATTTAGTAGTTCAAGAGGTACCTTAATAAAGTAATCATTAACATCATTTGGATCGAATTTGGCTTTAATTTTGTCTATTTTGTTGGCGCGTTTTTTATTAATTATTTCCCATATAATTTTACCCGAAAGGATAAAGTCGACCTCCTGGTTTTTCTAGTTACTATATAGTTTTGACACATTTGACCATTTGTGTCAACGCCCCCCTTCGTATTGGTAATTTAAATCTACCGGTGGGTAGTTTGTAAGTTGNCCACAAAAAATTTTTAAACGGGTGGGACCGTACCCCGGGCTGTCATCTCGCCAAGGAATTGTTAAAATATCCTTCAGCCGCAACAGCCCAGTTCTTCGTAGGGCTCGGTAAAAGTGCCCTTCGCACTGCCACAGGTCTCCTCACGGGACACCGTAAAGTAAATAAGCACCTTCAAAACATGAAGCTTGCTGACTCCCCTCTTTGTCGAGCCTGTGAACAGGATGACGGGACGGTTAAACACATCTTGTGTGATTGCACCTCTCTGACCTACCTTAGAATGAGCACCTTCGGGGGGGAATGACCAACCACAGATGACATCAGGAATGCACCTTTAGGAGCTGTCCTAGCCTTTGGTAAATCCTTAGGCTGGTTGATGTGACCAGATTGTGTAATGGGAGGATGCACAAGGGGACCAATGGAGCCTAAGTGTAGCGTGCGGTTTTGCATGCACTCCCCAATCCATACATACATACATACATTGCAGTTACGCCCCTTAGCGGTCGAATTATNAGATCACTTGTGTAAAGTTTGGTTCGGATCTTTGACCGAATAAGGGCGGTAGAGCAAATTATAATCTACTGCGGGGTAGTTCACCCCCGCGGACCCTTTGCAAGTGGAATTTCTTTCGATAAATATATTTCTTATCATGTCTAGAAGGCGTATATAAAGTTTGGTGCGGATCTTCGAACCAATAAGGGAGCTGGAGCCAGTTATTTTAATTAAAATTGCTGATTGTACCTTGATATTAGTGATAAATATATTAATTACTTTTAATATACTGTAATTAACTTCTTAAGTTGATAATGTAATGTTTTTTTGTTCGAAAAAATTGAGCCCCCGTGTGTCCGGTATTACGGACGTCTATGGGCGTTCGGGTATCATCGGAAATTTTTACTGCTATCTTTTACTGCTGTCTTCACACCGGTTCGGTAAAAGTGCCCTTCGCACTGCCACAGGTCTCCTCACGGGACACTGTAAGTAAATAAGCACCTTCAAAACGTGAAGCTTGCTAGCTCCCCTCTTTGTCGAGCCTGTGAACAGGATGACGAGACGGTTAAACACATCTTGTGCGATTGCCCGTCTCTGACCTACCGCAGAATGAGGAGGGGGAATGGGGAGGAATGGCCAATCACAGATGACATCAGGAATGCACCTCTAGGAGCTGTTCTAGCCTTTGGTAAATCCTTAGGCTGGTTGATGTGACCAGAGGGTGTAATGGGAGGATGCACAAGGGGCCCAATCCATACATACATTGCAGTTACGCCCCTTAGCGGTCGAATTATGAAGTTCAAAATAATTTCCAGCTATTTCTCTTGCCCACTTTGCTTATAAGGATTTTTTTTCTCAAACCTGTAGGCCTTACCGTTGTCGAAATACAACCGCTCCGTACCCTTAACGGGACACCTGTATATCTTTGTGTTTTTTACATTTGCTCTTTTTTTATAACATCAGATATACTGTAGTTCTTATAAATTGGTACTTTTTTGTTACCTTCGCCAGTCTTTTGTATCCGTTCGTGTCTCATTTGCTGACTGGCATATTTGTTAGAATTGCTATTCCATTTGCTCATTCCTTTAATTATTTCTTTTTATGAGCAATTTTCGTGTGGAACATTTGAACGTGAGGTCATTGCTTGTACACTTTAGTGAGTATTTGGACCGTTCTGATTGTGATGCATTTGCTATATCTGAAACATGGCTTAGCCCCAACATTAATAATTCTGTTATTTAAATTGAAAATTTGCACTTCTTTAGAGCTGATAGATTATCTAGAGGTGGTGGGGTTGGTCATTATATCCGAAACTGTTATAAATGTCAAGTTATTAATATTAAGCGACTTTAACATTAATCTTATGGTCGATGGGCCTTTAGCAAATTCTTTCCTAGCCACATTAGAAGGTTTTAACTTGAGGTAAGTTGTTGAACAACCTACATAAATATCGGATAACTGTGAAACACTCATTGATATAATTATTATGTTTTCTGATCACTTGCTAGTTTATTGCCAATTGGAAACTTCTGTATCTAAATGTGAAACCAGACAAATTAGTTCGATATTTACGTAATATTGATATAGATGCCTTTAATAAAAATATTGATCTGATGAACTGGGAAGATGTTTTTGATTTTAACAATATCAATGATAAAGTTAGCTATTTCAATGACGTTCTGTTGTCTCTATCCCGTTTTAAAGAAAACCTTAAAGAAAGGTCCATTACCTTGGATCGCGTGGAATATCAGACATGTGATCAAATTAAGGAACAATACTTTTAATAAGTGTAAAAAAAAATTCAACATTACGGGAGCAATCGGTCGGGAGAAGGTGACATTTTTTGAACAAAATTTGATAGTCAATAATTCTAAAAATATGTGGAATCATCTTAAAAAATTTAATATTTTAAGAACCATCCGCTGCTTCTATTCGCATTTGGCTGATCCTAATAATATTAACACCTTGTTCAGCAATTCTGTAAAAAGTACTCTGGTTGAGTCTGATATTAATCTCCAATCGTATTATTACAATAATAGAATGCACCCAGACGCCCCAACAATGAGTTTTCGTAAGGTATCTTCAGATCACATTCTGAAAATACTTTTGAATATAAAATCCACTAGTGTAGGATCTGATGAGATTGGTTTGGACATGGTACGCTTAGGTTGCCCGTGCATTCTTGATGTGCTTATGCACATGCTTAATTTCTGTCTTACTGAATCAGTGTTTCCAATGTCGTAGAGGCAAGGACTTATAACTCCCGTTCTTAAAACGAATCCGTTCACTACATATAAGGGTTTAAGACCCATAGCAATACTGCCGGTACTTCCAAAACTGTTGGAGAGACTCATGGTTGAGCAATTGTAGCTTTATTTAGACACCGATTGCATTTTACCACTTAAATAATCTGGCTTCAGGAATAGTTTAGTTGTGCTAGTGCGCTGCTGGACCTGATCGACGATATTTTTGGTGCATTGGATGTAGATAGCTCAGCATTGTTAATTTTGCTTGATTTCACCAAGGCTTTTGATATACTTAATCATAGCCTAGTGCTTAGTATTCTAAAATTTATTGGATTGGATGATAAAGCGATTAGATTGTTCAATATTTATCTTTCGGATAGACCGCAATCTGTAAGATTAAATTCGGTACAGTCGGATCCTGTCATTGTTCCATCGGGAGTCTATTCTTGGTTCAGTTTTATATACTATATGTACTATATATATGGGAAGGCACTTCCGGAAATGCGTCTTCAACCAAACGCCAGCAAAACTGAGGTAACATGATTTCATCGAAACAATAAACTTGTCGTTACACTTTATAGAACGTTCTCATTTGAAAAACATACATGTAATGGAAAAAGTGAATAAACTAAAAAACTAGGAACAATGTTATATACAAAAGCTCGGTGGAACAACATGAGCCTCCTCTTCTCAACCGCTTAATAGCCTTCATATCCACAAAATTGATCAAGTCAATAACACGATGAGAATGATCTCAGAGGTTATCAAATTTACTCCAGTGGAACGGGTTCCAGTAGTAAATACTTTCATGAGAGAGTGCAAGTAGATCTTGAGCAACCAAAAGCTACTAATACACAAGGAGATTGAGGATACCAACTACATCTGCCTCCGATCCAGAAATTCACCGATCAAAACAGCAGCCACTGCTACAGATGAAAAATTCATCTTGACTAATGCTTGACATAAATAGATACCAAAGGACAATAATCAGATTCGATGCATTACCCAAAAGCCTCTCGGTTTTGATTTACCACGTAAAACCTGGTAAACTCTAAACAGAACCGGGACCCAGCTTGGAAGATGCGTCTACTTTTTGCATAAATTTGGCAAGAAATTGACGTCTTTTTGTGAATGCGGTGAAAATCAAATCGTGAAACATATTATAGAATAGAAGATTCCCCTAGTACAACCTATGATGGACTACTTGAAGATTTCCAGAGTGAATATCTTACATAAATTAATTACGGAAACAGACATTGTTGCTATTTTGTATTGTCGTGTACTTTATATTCTGATTATGAGTTCTGTTTTCAAAATTGAACTTTCGATAAGTGTAACAATCGATACGAGACCGACACGACGTCACAATCGGTCTTCCTTCCGGAATTCGCAAACAATTGGTGAATCGAATAACTTTTTGTTCTACAGATCTTGATATATAAATTATAAATATAAATTTACATAAAACAGGGATATAAATAGCGATTTAAGAGGTTAGGACAAAATTATTAAAATATGTTATTGTTCATATTTGATACTTACCATCATAATGTCATCAAAATCACTGCTACAACCTTCCTTAATTTTCAACTTTTTTAAAAGTTTATTATAATTTTAATGAACTAATGAAACAGAAAATTCTAAACTGACTGAATTCAGAAAAACCTCCGCGATCTATTTGCTTTCAAGGGTAGTTTACAGCAGGAAAAAAATAAATGTTTGTTTACAAGTCTTCTTCTAACACAATGTGAAATTGGTTGCCTATATTGCTTTAAAAATTTTATGGCATATTTATTTTATTGATGTAGACATAATTATTATTAAATATTTTTATAGAATTAAATCATAATAGCAATAAAACATATTTAACAACACAAAAACTAACACAAAAATAATTTGTTGTAATTTTGTTAAAAATAAGATTTTTAGCTTTGTAAAACGATCTCATTCATAAGATAAGAAAAATGTAAATTAAAACCGCAAATTTTAGCGGTAGGAGGTAAAAATAAAAATAAACTCAACTCGTCTATCCAGTAGCGTAGAGTAGTGGAGTGGCACTTTTAAGGGACGGCAAACTGTTACAATAAATAATATCTTGAGAAAATTTGAAATCAAATTCCAATAACATTTACTCAATTAGAGTCTGCATCTGTATGCCTAGACATAGACCTCGATAGCTTAGAAATAAAGACTGATGATCACAGCATTAGTAGTGTCTGCGTTCAAAACCAAAACTTGGACGATTTTGCTGAACGACAGCAAAATCGTCCAAGGTTTGGTATGTATGCATTAGTGATGGAACGGATAGTGATTTTGCGAAAAGCCGGATATTCGGCATCTCCTTCGGCCATTATGGTTATAATTTCTGGTACATTTCAGAACATTCGCCACATTATTGATCCAAGATACAAAATGAACTTTTTTGATGCTGATCTAACTAACGAAGCAACTTTAAAAAGAGGATACTTTAATTAATAATTGGCGATATTTCCACAAAGATCCTTCAATAAATGAATTTTATAGCGAATTTTGAAAATTATCGATGAAAGTTGCAACATCGAAAATTTTATCAAAACTTCAAATATTATTTCTCAAAAACTAAAAGTTATTTTTCAAATAGTGTTGGTTCATTGGAAAGAGGACACTTTTATTAACACTTTGGGAAATTTCCATACTTATATTCCCAAAAATGAATTTTATATGAATTTTTAAAACATAATCGGCGAAAATTGCAAAATTCTAAAATATTGGCGATCCTTTCAAAAATTTATTTCTCAAGAACTGAAAGTGATTTTTCAAAACGGCTTGTTGCATTAAAAAGAGGATTCTTTAATTAATAATTGGTGATATTTCCACAAGGATCCTTCAAGAAATGAATTTTATAGCGAATTTTGAAAATTATCGATGAAAATTTCAACATCGAAAATTTTATCAACACTTCAAATATTGTTTTCTCAAAAACTAAAAGTTATTTTTCAAATAGTGTTGGTTCATTGGAAAGAGGACACTTTTATTAACATTTTGGGAAATTATGAAAATTTCCCAAAGTGTTAATAAAAGTGTCATACTTATATTCTAAGCAATGGATTTTATACGAATTTTTAAAACTTAATCGGCGAAAATTGTAAAATTTGAAAAAATTGTCGATCATTTCAAAAATTTATTTCTCAAAAACTGAAAGTGATTTTTCAAAACGTTTTTTTGCATTCAAAAGAGAATACTTTAATTAATAATCGAAAGTGATAACAGCGTCAGTTATTAGTAATGAATGTGATGATGAATTACAACCGAAGAGAAGAAAACTAGACGAAACTGCAACAAGAGATTTTATATATCGTATTGGG